ATGGTACCTATTGTACATCATAAATATTAGTATAACTTTTATAGATATTTGGTCAAACTTGATACTGTTTAACTCCTTGGAAATTGAGATCTACATTCTTTTTTGGAGGGAGTATTTACTTAGTTAGTTTATGTTACATTTAGTTAGTATGTCTCGGTTATATTTACCTAGTAGTTTATTTGCATCACATTGGGTTTAATTTACATGGCTATGTATTCCTAGTAGTTTGTTTGGATCACATAGGGATGACCTCGTATATTTTATGTTCATGGTACTACAATGCATTTTATTTGTTACAACATTTTTTCAAACTGTTTTCATGTCTTTATGAACCAGGATGGCGCAACATCCAGTGTACCCTCTGTTTGAGAGATTCTACAACGACAAGCACCGAGCTCACCTAAACGTCAACCCGCTATCACCCTTGCATGCATTGAGGCCACAGACCCACACAGAACACCTCTGGGACGAGCGGTATGCGTCGCACCTATGATGTGCCGGCTTTCTCGAGCTTGCCTAGGTTGTAAACTCCGGGCTACCCGACCTTGACCCAACACTACTCACCGCTGCCGTGGACTGATGGAGGCCGAAGACCCATACCTTCCACCTTCACTGCGACATGATGGCAATTACGCCGGAGGACATCGCCTATTTTTTGGGCTACCATTGGACGAACCACCGCTTAGCAGAGTCCTCGACATTGGGACGTAGAGGGACCTAGTGTGGCATTAGGCCACCTGAGGATGGGCTGATGGAGGCCGAGATGAAGAGGCTTATAAATTGGGTCCGATCTAGGTTTTTAACACGGTGCCTAAGATTGTTTTTCTAGCTCTTTATATGATGTGGACAGCTCCTGTTGGGCTAGGTCCACCTCCGGAGTGTAGGAATTGGCACTACCCCAAATCTGGACATCACTGTCGGTTCAAAAAAAACCCTTCACTGCTGGATTTTAAACCGACAATGGCATACCGACAGTGATGGGGGGTTGACATCACTGTCGGTTCTTAAAAACCTACACTGATCTACAGGCAGCGGTGTCGGTTCCTGGCTCTACCCGACAGTGTCTAGTTGAACAACACTGCCGGTTTGTAGTCCCAACCGACAGTGATAGTTGCTTCAAGAGTGTCGGTTCTTGGCTCAAGCAGTGTTGAGCAAGCCTACACTATCGGTTCATGGCTCAAGCCGGCAATGTTGAGAAAGCCAACACTGTCGGTTCATGGCTCAAGCCGGTAGTGTTGAGCAAGCCAACACTGTCGGTTCATGGCTCAAGCTGGCAGTGTTGATCAAGACAACACTGTCGGTTTGTTGATAACCGGCAGTGATGGTTACGACAACATTGCCGGTTCGTTGCTAACCGGTAGTGATGGCCCGTTCGTATTTTATTGTTTTATAATTAATTTTAATTTATATACGGGTTTCGCTTTATATACGCTACGTAGATGATAGGTCCATCAGTATTAAATATTACAAATGTTACGGTTACAGTTCAAATGTTCTTATCCATATCTCGATCCCTCCAAATAAAAAAGAAATGTTCTCGGACTTCACAGATTGTGCAATGCTTCTCGGACTTCTTACAATAATCTGGCGAGCCGGGCCATACTGGTCCTTGTACTTCACGGATTGTGCAATGGAAAATACTCCATCTTTTTCCAATACCTCGGCTAAGATGAATTTTGCGAGCTCCGATTGCAGTGCGACGATCTCCATGTCTAACAACCTTTGGTGGTTATATTTCTTGCGCTGTTGTTCAAAAAAGATGATATCCAAAGAGGAACAGTAAATCATTTTATTGAATTATTAACAGACATAAATGAAATGTGGATTATACACACCAACTTATCGGCTTCTTTCGATTTCCCGCCGATGTAGTGAAGCATTGCCCACATTACATAGAACCCGCATTCATTGTTTCCCGCTGGCTGTGATAGGTACTTCCCCTCTATTTCGATAACCTTGAATGGAACCGGCGTCCCACCGATATGTCTTCTTCGGACACTGAGCAACATTAAAGGGAGAAACATTAGAAAGCGGTATGTGTGATTAGAAAATAATATGTTATTAGGATCGCTTACTAATTCAGCATTGCCACCAGTGCATCCAGATGATGAAATGGTTTTTTCTTCGAGTCCCACACCTCGATAAGATTTTTGGCAAGATTGACACAAATGAAGACGAAATGGTTGCTGCAATCACATAATCCTAATTATCGAATAATTTTAACGAAAAAAGAAGCATAAAATTAAAAGCCGAGAACACATACTCACAGTTGTAGGCTAGAAGTATGTGGGTTTTCTTCTTCATCGTGAATTCGTCGAAAACACAGTCAATCTCTGTTTTAGGTCTTCCACGTCACATCCATGGAGGCCTAGACATGTTCTCTCATTAACTCGCAAGGGGTCCAAGAAGCCTATGTAATCCTATTTGCTTTTTAGAATGCAAAATTTTGCTATACACCTACAAAAAATCATGGGAAGTGCTTAGAAGTTAACAATTTATGTCTCGAGAGAGTAGCACTACTACAAAACAAGGATATTGTATCACTTTTTTATAACATATTCATCAATGTGTTTCAGTGAAATTTCATAGTAACATAAAATAGTGTGTTACAGACTTCGGTTGTAACACAAAACATTTTTTTTATAAAAATGTGTTACTGGCAATAATTATAGTAACACAAAATTAATGTTACAAGCAAAATGTTACAAAAGTGTACTATATTGTAACACATAAATGGAACATATAAAATGTGTTACAAATATATACCTTGTAGTAACACAAAATAATGTTACAGTCCAAGTGTTACAAAGAAACATATACATGTGGACCTTCCTATTCATAGGCGACACGAACATCGCACCTAGATGTCGTCAAGGCTGTTAGGCAATCACGTCATTGTCATCACATGTGAACCAAGTAACAATGAGTAAGGGGGTGTTTGGCAAGGCTCCTCCTGAGGGGCTTCTTTGGAGGAGTCGGAGCCATTTTGGAGGAGCTTCTATTACCACCAGAGGACATTTTCATTAATACAGAGACAATAGTTCTCCTGTCAATAATTCGTGACAAGACAAAACTCGTCACAACATATTGAATAGAATACTGCCACATGTATGGTGACATGGCACATATGACATGGCAGAGGACGTGGCGGGTGACGTGGCATTTAACATTTGGCCCATATAGCATGGGTTTTTCATTTACAATCTGCCCAATTGGCCCAATTTTTTTTTGGCCCAGCTAGCATGGGTTTTCATTTACAATTTGCCCAATTGGCCCAATTTTTTTTTTGGCCCATATAGCATGGGTTTTTCATTTACAATCTGCCCAATAGTTCATGAGGTGCAGTACCTGACTTTTTATTGTGCAAGCTCATTTCTTCAATGGTTTGTGTTTCTCCTTTTTCTTTATTGTGTAATTGTACAAGTTCTTCTCATATTTATTGAAGAAATGAGCCTAATAATTTTGATTGACAGTTTGTGCAAAATGGAAGATTTAGACAAACCATGTTGACATCTTAAAAGAAAGCAGCACCATGTAAATCTACCTCCTATAATACACTAGTTAGAATAAATCTACAGCCACACAATAAATGGCTGCTCCACAGTCATGACCTATGCTACATCCACACCCATGAATGCACGTGTTTATGTTTATAACATGTGACTTTATAGTTATAGTAAAAAATTAAGATTGTAGCATAGTAGACTTTATATGAAAATTATTTTGTTGCTGAAATATGTTATATAGAAAAGAATTGATAAGATAAACATGTGCGAGTGTGTCTATAAGCAAAAACTAAACTTATGTAACAGAAAAATATTAGATTTTCTAGAAGAAGATAAAATTGCATTTACAAAGAAACAAATACTCAAACTATTTTTTTTAGCTCAACTAAAAACATAATGATTTATATGTAGCACACGCTACAAATTTGGTATGTGAAACCGCAGATAACAACACAATATTTAACAAGGAGTCATCAAGATCATTCATAATTTACAAATGGGAAAGCAAGTGTCAATAATTTCCTTAATCTCTGGATTCAGAGAGAAGAGGTTCCGGAAAAATTCAATGTGATATGAGCAAAAAAACATAGTGTTTTGAGCAACATTGGTATACATTTACAAACTCAAAAATAATTAATAATTTGAACTTTCATCATCCCAATATTTCCTTATTTATGCATCTGGTCGTCTTATTGAACCCACAAGCCAATCCATTGTACATTTATTATTAGTTGAATCCTTGGGCTCACATGTACCATCAAACAGAAATTTCATCGGCCATGTTTTCATATTCAGTAAACAAATTAAATCTGCAAGGACAATTACTCCAACAAGTTAGAAAAAGATGGGACAAAATCCAAAAAACGAAAATTAAATTACATTAAGGAATAATCCCATTTAGTTTGACCTGCAAATGGCATTGTATCAAAGAAAGTTAATCTTCCAATCTATCAAAGTTCTCTATAAGACTTCCAAGAAAAAAAAGGCTTGGGAGAAATGCAGATACAGGTTAAGAAACATATCTTCTCTCACTAAGCCCGCAAACCAAGGCATCTCATGGAATATATATATATATATATATATATATATATATATATATATATATATATATATATATATATATATATATAGCTCCCACACGTTCTACTTGAAACTACTGAGGTAGGGTATGCTGGCATCACTTGGCAATAAGACTGACCTCAAAAAATAATTGCTTGCTAACACATAGAGCATACCCTAACTCTGAACTGAAAATTTGAACATGTATCACCTATGTAGGAATTCAAGATAAGACTGATTTTCTATTGTCTTCACTTTAGTAAGACCCCGCTAGGTAGATAACGTACAAGTTCACATATATAAATTATCATTATAGTAAAAATTGAATAAATATGAGAAGAACTTGTACAATTACACAATAAAGAAAAAGGAGAAACACAAACCATTGAAGAAATGAGCTTGCACAATAAAGAGTCAGGTACTGCACCTCATGAACTATGATTGGTCATTCAATCCATTGCCACTAGCATCCACAGCATCACTAGCATCCACCGTGGTTCCCTCAATGTCTGTTCTAGCCCATTGATGTCTTACATTTGCATTATTGAACATATCTCCAAGGTGTGTGACATGGAATGGCTCATTTTCTACATCATCTTCCCATCCATCACAACCTGTGTCATATATATCTCTTGGTTTCATCTTCATGACTACAGACCACCCAGGGTTTTCTTTGTCTTCAGCATAAAACACCTGGTCAGCTTGGTTAGGGAAAATATACGGTTCATGAACAAACTTTTCTCCTGTATGTATCAGGTGTGAGAAATTAACTAGTGTGTAGCCATACTTGTCCTTCTTTATTCCTCTTTTAGAAAGAACATCAACCCATTCACATTTGAAAAGTACCACAGAAAAATTCCCAGAGTAGTTTAGCTCAATAATATCAATTATCCTCCCATAGTAAGTCACATCACCTAAAACTGGCCTACCATCACTTGCACTGGCATAACTTGATGTTTTTGCAGTTAGCACTACACCACTATTTTGTGTCACCCTATCCAACCGTTTGGGCCTAAAACGGAAACCTCGATTGTTGAAAGCATCTACCTTACCTTTTGCAAGCATCAAGCTGGGCCACGAGCTAGCCATCTAATGTCATCTTTAACACCATGAATGCCATTTTCCCTCTCTAACTGCATTATCTGTACAATTATACAAGTTTAGTCCTGCACGTTAGTGCTACATAAGCATTTTGAGTTAAGGTACTTACATGACCTCTAAACCATTGATGGAACTTCTCATTTTGGATTTTCTCAACATCTCTATGACTGGCTCTACGTCCAATACCTTTTCCAATGATCTCTTCAGCATGAGCTCTACAATTTACATGTAAGAAAATTTATGGGAGGCAAAAAAATAAATTTATGTTTACAATTTTGAGATATTACCTAAGGTATGGATCGACATCGGAACAATTGAATAGCACATATCTATGTGCTTGTACTTTAGCCAAACCTCTCAGGACATAACTACTTGGCTTCCCAAGTGGTTTCCCAGATTGAGGAAAAAGAGTTGATGCATGTCTAGTAGAGCATCCAAGTGACTCCTCATTATCATCATTCCGCGAAAGCCTATTAGACAATGTCTGAAAACCATCAAGAAATGTTGAACAAAAGTGCATAGCCTCTTTTGCCAGAACTGATTCTGCAATGCAGCCCTCTGGACGAGCTTTATTTCTCACGTTTGACTTCCAATCACCAAGGTACCTACACAAACTAGTATAAATTAATAAAAACTATAATTTAGCATGCAAAGCGAAGGTACCAAACATGGCTTTTATTTTTTTATAAGAAAAACGTACCTTTCCACAAAATACATTGATCGATAACATACAGGACCACCTATTTTTGCCTCTGTTGCTAAGTGAAGAACTAGATGCACCATGATAGTGAAAAACCCAGGAGGGAATATCATCTCCATCCGGCATAACGTCATTATGATTCGGTCCTCTAACTTCTCAAGTTCATTCATGTGGAGAACTTTTGCATTCAGTTCTCTAAAATATCCACATAGATCAAATAAGATATATGTAACTTCATCTGGGAGAAGACCTCTCAGAGCAAGTGGCATAAGTTGTTGCATTAGTATGTGGCAGTCATGACTTTTGAGGCCTGAAATTTTTGCTTGACCAACATTTACACATCTAGAGATGTTACTAGAATAACCATCTGGAACTTTTATGTCATGAAGGACTTTACAGAATTGTTGTTTCTCCTCTTTAGACATGTTATACAAAGCAGGAGGCAAGTAATACTTACCATTAGCCTTTTTTGTGGATGTAGATCTGGCCTGATGTTCATTTCTTGCAAGTCTTTCCTTGCTTGTAGATTGTCCTTTGATTTGGCATCCATTTCTAAAAGTGTCCCAAATATATTTTCACACACATTCTTCTCTATATGCATAAAGTCAAGATTGTGCCGTAGCAAATTATACTTCCAGTAAGACAAACAAAATAGGCCACTAACACCCTTCCATGTTTTGGACTTCTCAAAGTCTTTAATTGATTTTATCCTTTCCAAAAGAGATACTCCAGAATGAGAAATAGGTCTCAACCGTTGCTCTTCGGTTCCGTCAAATGAATTGGCATCATAACGAAACTCATGGCCAGTGGGTAGACATCGTCGGTGTCCCATGAAACATTGCTTGAGGCCATGCTTCAAGCGTATTGAACTTGTTTCATCTTCACAGGACACACAACCCAACTGTCCCATAACACCGTACTGTGCCAGTATCCCTGTCCCAAGGTAGTCACTCACAGTATGCAATATTGTAGCATAAAGTTGAAATCTCTCATCTCGAGATGCATCATATGTAGACATACCAGTGTCAAACAACTCATTTAGCTCATCATAAACCGGCTGCATAAATGTATGGAAGTCCTTTCCAGGATAACCAGGAATTATTAGAGTGAGCATAAGAGAAGAATCTTTCATGCATAACCATGGTGGAAGGTTGTATGGTACTAATACAACTGGCCAACAACTATGGGTAGAATTACACTTCCCATATGGGTTAAAACCATCTGTTGCTATTCCAAACCTCATGTTTCGAGAATCTGATGCAATATGAGGGTGCTGGGAATCAGTGATTTTTCAAACCTCAGCAGGATGGCGCAAAGCACCATCCTTTGTACGCTCCTCATCATGCCATCTAGTTAACTTAGTTGTTTCCTTGTTCATGAAAAGCCTTCTAAGTCTAGGTTTGATTGGAAAGTAACGCAATACCTTATTTGGGGTTGCCTTTCTTCTTTCCTTTTTTGTTAATGATGTTTTATCTGGCTTATTTTTCCATCTTGAAGCTCCACATTTTGAACAGAAGTCATCATATTTCTTGTCTTTCCAATAGAGCTGACAATTATTTGGGCACACATGAATCTTCTCATATCTAAGACCAAGCTTCGCAATGGTCTTCCGAGCCTCCACAAATGTTCTAGGTATATTTGAACCATTTGGGAGAGCTAGCTGTAAAATTTGAAGTAGATCATTAATTGATTTATTGCTCCACTTGTTGGTCGACTTCACATGAAACAATAGGACCAGGAAAGAAAGTTTTGATAGCTCACATCCTTCCCATAAAGGTTCATCAGCAGCCCTAAGCAAATCAAAGAAATCTTGTGTTTCCGCATCTGGCCCATCTTCAGATAAACCTGATGCGTGAGGTCCATTTGTGTGATGTTCATCGTCTATATATCCAAAGGCTTCTTGGAGTACTTGGCGCATATTAGTGTTTAAACTTGGACGTGGTGACTCTGAATCTTTGTTAGCAGAGATATAAGATGCGGTTTCCCCATGATAGCCCCATATAGTGTATCCACGTAGCATTCCATCACACACTAAGTGCTCATACACTGTTTCTTGCATTTGTAATTGTCTATTGACACATTTGACACAGGGGCATTGAATCTTTGCATCGGACTTTTTCCCACTATAGGCAAACTTAAGAAAACCCTGTACCCCAGCTATGTACTCATCACTTGGTCTTCTGGATTGCAACAACCTCTTAATAGCACTTAAGTCCATTAATTCACTGAAATCAAGAGATACTATCACTGCATCAGTTATGTGGTACTTCAATAGCTGAGACAAAATGTTGGAAATACATAAAAAGCTATGAATTATATAAAGTGGACTCAAACAGTTTGTCTTGTAATAAAATATTAGTCTTTCCAAACATGGCAAGCAAGGCTGTACTAATGACTGGTGGCGATTACTGATTATCTGATTAATAGATGGACTCTAGTAATGCTCACTTGTAGGACAACTACAGTTGCTTAACTGACTAATGGGTGCCTCTCCTGCAGGTACCGGTGCACAACATGCCCAAAATTAGTTGATGAGAAGAGAAATGCAATGATGGTGGAACAGAGTATGCCAAACGGCAAACATGGAGTAGCAAGCAAAGGCGGTAGCGGTGACATCCTAGCAATTAATACATATTTATGCCCGTAAAAAATGAAATACTACATCAAGTGCCTAGTTCTCAATTTCTTATAACTGTACATGTACATAAAAATTATATGTCTAGTTCTAAGTTCACAGGTACAATATCAGTCACAGCAAGGCCAGAGACAAATTAGTTCATAAGCAAAAGCTTTTCCCAGGAATTACATGATCACAGCAGGTTATCACTTATCAATGGAACATATCAGCATTATCACAGGAGTGCAATAGACCAAAGGCAATAATGCATTATGCAATAGTTCATAGATATACAAAGGCATCAACCATCAGGCACACAGGCCACAGCAGACCACCACCAGCAGCAGTACAGGTATAGGGCTATAGGCGTACATGATTTAGTTCTTGTCTTCCATACTTTTAGTTTCTAAACAAAAGCACAAGACTACTCCATTTATTCATTGGTTTGCAATGTCCTGTTATTCTCATCTAAACATTGGCATGAGCATGACAATTGAGTTACTGATATAATGACACTTCATACAAGTCAGTAACTTCTATGGATCCGTCTTTACTTAACTTCTTTTATATTTCACTCGTAATTCTTAAATTAACCAAAAAAATAGCCAATTATCAATCCTAATAATTCCTAAATTAACCAACCAATTAGATAAAACAAACGGAACAACCTGAGCTAAATAGACCCATTATCCAGCAACGGACTACTTACCTACCTGCTCGGCTGCCTTGCTCTGTTGCTCCCGCTTGGAGAGTTGGTGTCACCAGTCGGAGTGCCAACGCCACGCGAGGTTGTGAAACGCGAACAACTTGAACGGGCACCCCGCCGGCCCGCCCACGCGGCAATGAGCTAGAGCGCCACCACCCTGACTCTTGGCTGCTGCACGAGCAGGGCCGCACGGGAGAAGTACATATCCCGCTGGATCCTGTAGCAGGGCCGGCCCGCAGCCACCCTGCCCTGGAGCGAAGGCGGCGTGGAAGTGCCAGCCGGCGGCGTCACCGTACGGACAAGAGGGTTGGCGGGCAGCCTGGAGGAGAGGGGCGCCGAACTTGAGGGCAGGGGTCTGGCCTTGAGTAGATGGATTGCTAGGAGAAGGGTACCGTCATGGATGTCCTCCCCTTGCAGGATTGGGTTGAGATGATCTGTAGATGAGATTGGAAGACGACAGTTATAAGAGATAAGGGCGTTTTCAATTTCGCAGACGGCTGTTCGCGGAAACTTGTGCGCCAATATTTTTAGACCAAAAGTAACTCCGTTTTAAAATAGCATAGTGGAAAAAATTGTTTTTAAAAGATTCTAAAAAGTTGTTATAAAGTCGCACATATGGAGCTAAAGACATAGACGTGTTATAAATCTAAAAAAATTGTAAGACCAAGATAACTCGTATTCTTCTTTAAACAAAAAAGGCAATTAATTAACGTTAGAATAAAATAAGTTCTTATTTAATAAAAATATTGCTGTATTGACAAAATATTGATCAAAATTTTAAATTATTGAGAAAAAAGTGTGATGACACACTTATGTCTTCTGTCCACATAAAAGTTGAAGAGATGTGACACGTGAATACATCAAACATGATGAAAAATTTTAATAATGTGAAAACACTATTCTATTACGGTTAGTTTGTCACAAAAACAAAACAAAATTTAAATTATGTAATGTAATTTATGTTTAAGTAGACTTTTTTTTCAAATACGCATGAGATCTTCGAGAGAAAAGGATCGCCCTTACAAATGCCATCACCTCACTCTGGGTCGGGCTGTGAGGGATTGTTTTCTTTGCATCGAAGAATTTAAACTATAAAAAATTAAGATAAGGGTGAGACCTGACCACAAAACTCCAACCAACTAAGCTGTAGTAAGCTAACCCATCGTGACCCAAACCCAACGTGCACAGGCCACACGTGCTCGTCGTGCGCCAAAGATGATGTCCATCTCTGAATTCATTGAACAGCCTGATGATGTAGGGGCAAGTCCCTTAAAAACGGATATACACAAATAAAAGCATAGTTGGAGAGCCTCACCGTGGACATCGATTGTGGGCCCTATATACACGAATGAAAATTTGGCCCTATATACACGAATAAAATAAGTCCAACTACGTATCATAAGATTTTTTAGAGTTAATACCAAAGGAGTCCATAACTCCATACGCTCTAAAGTCACAAGTGAGTGTACAGTGGTACAAAAGAATCTCGGATGGAGAAACAACCAAAATAAAAGTTGTAGATCATAAATCTGGAATGCGATGGGAAAGCTGAAGGACATAAACATGTGCAAAGGGAAATGGATAGAGATGAGATATGCTTTTTCGACTTGATTGATCTGATCGAGGGTTCTGGGTACACATCAGTCGTCTATCTATACTACAAGAGAAAAGATAGCTTGGTTGTAATACAACAAGATTCTGATGTGATGGAAATGCTCAACGAGTGTGAGAGCGAAAAGATGGTTAATTTGTTTGTGACGAAGCAAAGACTGGCCACTTTAGCACCTACCAAGTCCAACAAAGAACCATCCAAATCTAAACCAAAAAAAATAAAGGTATTAGAATGAACATATAATTTACTTTTCTATGTATATTTGATTATTCAAGGACAACCATTCCAAGTCTTGTTAGTTATCAATGATTTATTTTCATCCAAGATTAGCATATCCAACCCCATTGTGGTATGTGACTTAATAAATACAATCTTGATAGTCTAATACAAATATCTAGTTGTTTAATAAAAAGATTACATATTGTTTATTATATTTACTATAAACACGTGTTGATGTCCCCAACATTTGTTTAGCAGGAAGAGCAGGTACAAAAAAAAAAAAAGGATTAAATGTAATGCATACGGAAGCACTATATGCAAACGAGGTTGAGCAGCATGATGATGAGAACTAGAACACATTAGGTACAAATGTAGTTAGATCAATCTCATTCATATGGACTGCATCTTAACCAATTACTATCACTATCATTCTATTTTTAATAGGTGATGGCGATGAAGTACCTGGTAAACGAAAGGGGACCGTTTTAACACATGTTTGGGATCTACTTGGAGGAGATTGGATAGTAGTAAGATGTAATATGCTTGGACAACCCATTGGAAAAGAAGGTGGCCTTTTAGGACAATTTTTGGGCACCATAGCAAGAAATGGTGGTTACTGTCCAGTTGGTGCCAAAGATTGGAGAGAAGTTAAGAAAAACAATGCAAAAACCATAATTCAATTCATCCAGGTTAGCTAAATTTTACAAGACATAATGTTTTTATAAGATTAAGTATATATATGCTTGTTATCATGTCATGAAGTCAAATTCATTCATTAGTGACTTTCTTATTTTAGACAAAGTTCTTATATCCTCATTCATGTGAGAACTAGATATTGAAATCAATTGGAAGAGATTGGAGAAAATACAAGGCAACATTAAAAAAGTCACTATTTAATCCAAAGAAGAAAAAGTCTGTTTTGAACAAGCGTTGTCCAGATGATATCGATGAAGATCAATGGAAGGCCCTAGTAAAATATTGGAAGTCCAGTGAAGGACAAGTAAGGCACCATTATTGACGCTATTTGGCTTTTTTTACTATCACTATCTATATCATTATTGATTTTTATATATATAATGGTTCATTATCTATTAATTTACTTTTCTTGTAGACCCTAAGTGAGAAGAACAAAATAAGTTGTCAAATGAAGAAGACAACACACACAGCCGGTACAAAGAGTTACGCTCATTGGTCTGAGGACATGGTGAGTCATCTTCTGTTTAAAAAAATTATATATGATTCTTCTTACTTTTCCTTTACTGCTATTTTTCGAGAGGCAAACTGATCCTGAAAAAAAACAGCCACATAGAGCAAAGGTTTACCTTGCAACTCACAGGAAAAGGGGAAATGGGATAAATGAACCAGTGGTATGCTATATGCACATGAGAATTTTTGCAAATATAAAATTATTTTTGTTTCCTAATGTGCGGATTTCTTGCTTGTAGGTTGAACTGGAAAATCTCCTAGACACACAACCAGAGTTAGCACAAAATAGTGAGGGAGGAGTTGCATGGGAAGGTGATGCATTACATCGGGTGTTGGGAGAAGAGAAAGCTGGACAAGTGCACGGCATGGGATTGCTTCCAGTTCCTAAACAAGTTTATGGTCGAAGAACATGCCATTTTAAGGACATTAATATAGTTTCACTAGATGGCTCATCATCTGATGTAGAGACTCACATGTTGGAGGAAATAAGGTAACTCAAAGAGCATTCTAGAATGCAAGACAAAGTTATTGAAGAACTAAAAAACAATCAAAGGCACCATGAGAACCAAGAAGCAACAATGGTAACAATGTACATTTTAATTTGTAACTTCGTATTGAAATGTGTTACTTAAACTTTATTTTTTTTCCAGGGAAATTGTGCTAGGAGTGATCATAACAATTCTCAGAATCAAGCGGTGCTTTCTAAAAGAAAGGTATTTGCTCTATTTTCCATATTTTCACCTAATTTAGTCTTTTGGCTTTAATATTTTTTCAAATTTTTAGAGAGTTCACTATGTTGCACCCAACCAGAATGATGGATTCCTTGAACACAGGGATGAATTGGTAAAGTCTCTTTCTTGTAAATTTAATACTATTTTATTCACAAAGGATTTTTTTTATATTAACTCATGCTACTGTCTTTTTTCTCTTTACTAGAATAAAGAAACATGTGAGTCTGAATATAGTGATGATGACAGTCTACTTTTATCCACCACAAGTAAAACAACAAAGAAACAAAAGGTATCTATGAACCACACTTTGCAGTATTTATAGAGGAATTTTTGTCTTAATATTTCGTACTTTATTTTATATGTGTAAGGGTCATCATGGAGGGCCTGGAGAGACTACGACCATTGCACACCAGGAGGTGGCTCATGACAAGGTTGCATGCAACAAGCGTCAAGCACCTAAACAACTTTCTGTAATGAAGGTAGATGAACATAATACACTTGTTCTAATTGCATGATCTTGATGTACAACTAAGGGTTGTTGGTCACTATGAGATTATGTCAAATTAATGTAGGTTGAGTCCATGGTGCTACTAATGACTTCAAAATATCCTAATAAGGTTAATGTGGCCTATGCAACTCTCTTGAGCACTGATCCAGAAGCCATTGTTGGTGGAGTTAAGACAGGAAGTCAATTCTACAAAGTGTGTATCGATCATGCTATAGCGAAAGATGAACCATTAGTGAGGCCTAGGCCTGGGTGCAATAATATTGGTGATGCTCAAGCCAAAGGAGTCTCAATTGCTTGGCCTTCGATGTTTGTATGTTCAAACTAGCTTTCTTAACTTACATCATTGTACATATGTGGCCTAATTTGTAATCTTACAACTTACATTTTCTTTGCAGGTTCAAATGATTAATGGTTGAATTCCTATATCGATGTGTACAAAGAATAATGGAAGAAGAAGCAATGGACTTTATGAATCCTAGCTAGTTCTTGAATTTTTCTTTCTAGTATGGACTATGTGTGTTTGCTCTATAGAGCCATATCGTTATGTACAAATACTATGATTTAATCTGAACAAGCACTATGTTTGAAATCATCCTACTACATGTGCATCTTGTTATGATTATTAAAATTTGTGGTTTATGTGATTTTGCAATGTGTCATGTTTGTGTGATTCTATAATAATCCGTGTGCCACATATATAGGCGAAACAAATATTTATTTCCTAATCTAAATATGTTACAATAGATATAAACAAGTGTTACAAACCATGTGTTCCTTTGTTCCATACTGTGCTCTACCATAATGTAGAAGTGTTACTAGAACTAAAAAAAGTGTTACAGCAGACAATCACTATGACACTAGGCAAATGTTCCCATAGATAAATAAATGTGTTACAAACTATGTATTACACCATAATGTGAAGTGTTACTAGAGAAAAAAAGTGTTATAGCAAAAATCATTGTAACACTAGATAAATGTTTCTATAGACAAGTAGATGTGTTACAATAAACAAGTCTATAGTAACATGGCCAATTGGAACACAAAAAAAATGTGTTACTAAGAGAGCTAGTAACACTTTTTTCAACCTACAGTAACACAAGTTAGTGTTATTGTATCCCTGTGCTGTTGTAGTGTAGTTAATTGTAATATCGTGCGTGTAGCGTACTTACATAGTCCACAACATCAACATTTGAACATCGAGAGAGTGTTTCTGGTATAGCTGGAACAAGCACTCCCACTCGACATCGAACTTCTCTTCTTCAGGATAATAGAAAACATGTGGCGAACGAATAATAACCTCAAAGCCAAAGTCGTCCATCTCTGTTGCTTGAGCCATGTAATATTCATATAATTGGCGCATATATGTTGTCAGATTTTTATACTCATGATCGGGAACCAAAAGATTGCCCCTTTCATACTTCATTGCCAGAGTTCCCGTTCCTTGTACATCATAATAGATGTTCGCGGCCTCTTCCATGGTTAATCCTGGGTTTTCTTCGACGTACTTCTGTATGTTCCTTAAATCTTTATTGTGTATTTCTTCATCTCTTGTTGTAGCGTATTTATTCTGTGTTTGCCTTTCGAATTCGGACTTCAACAAAAACGAAGGCAGTGAGGCACAGAGATTTAATAAACTAACACAATCTTCCTTCGAGATGTGTGCTTTAAATTTTTCTTTCATCAAGGTGGTAACACTGCCACTAAACGGCCTTTTTCTTTTCTGTTTGTCCACTTTGGGAGCATTAGCGACCGAATCCAAGGACCTTTTCTACGACAACGAGGATGTCCTTGATCTTGTTTTGGGCTAAGGTGGAGGAGGAGGACGACGAGAATTCTGTTTTCCCGACGCTAATGAAGATGGAAGAGGAGGAGGAGTCTCTTTTCTTGGAACTGATGAAGATGGAGTCGGACGAGGAGGAATAGAAGGAGACCTCTGTCTTTCTTGGGGGTGATGGCTCCAGATGAGGAGGAGAGTGATCTCTGTTGGGAGATGGTGAGTGATCATCGCGGGTGGGCGAAGACTCGCAGTCGTCCTCATCATCAGAGGACAATTGATGGTCAAGCTTAATGAAGCACTTGCGCCAGGCCACTTGAGAGCCCTTGTTTTGATCAAGTTTCGGCCTGTCTTCTGCTACGGGGTAGTCAATGGGTATCTTGTTATACTTCTAATCAAGTGTTCTGTCAATGGTGACACGAGCGTACCCCTATGGAATTGGGTGGCCATTAATTATCCCGTCTCCCATAGGCTAGGCCTGACCGAGCGCCACCTTATCCTTTGTCCATTCCTGACGGATGTACAACTTGACATTGACGGGTTCAGTGATGTCGTCCACCAGATGAGGCACATTCGCCTCTTCTTTGTCGAGCGGGGTCGATCCGCAGCTGCTGCGACCCCTAAATTGTGGGCTAAAGGCAGTAGGAGTAGGGTTTTGTGGTACTCCTGACCCCTTGGACAGCAAAATTTGCTCGACTCGTGCTTCAACAGTCGCCTCAATCCGTGCTTCTATTCTGTCTTCCATCTCTTTTAGTCGCCTCAAATACTCTGCCTCATGTTCCGCTCTACCCCTCGAGCGGCTCCGGTAAGTGTTAGATTCTTGGGGGAATGCTAGTTTCCAAGGAACAACATCGGTTCCTCTAGTGCGACCAGGGTGCTCCTTGGTTCTGAGTGCTTGGGTGAGCATGTCTTTCTCCCTATTAGAAGTGCGAGTCCCTTGCCTCACCTCCTTAGTTACCTAGGAGATCCTCTGGATGAGTTCGCTCATGGGTTGATTTGTGGAGCTAAAGCTCCCATCCTCGGTGTGCCGTACATTCCTCCCCATACAGTATAATACTGATCTGGCCTCCCAATCGACGGTCTCAACCTAAACGCCTTCCTCAGCAAGGCAATCCATCTTTTGAAGTTCTGCTTCAAATTCTAGCATCTTTTTGGCGTAGCCACGAGAGCCGAGATGATGAGGATTCACCGCTTTCTGCGAGTTCTCCTTATTCTTCCTACTCAGTGCTAAGTACTCCTTGGATAACCTATATTCCTTAAAATCCTGCCAGAAGTCCTTCTGCTTGCTAAACTATCCACCATCGAAATCTGGCTCTTTATTTTGGAGGACAAAATTCTTGTACAATGTCCCCTTGAAATTCTTGAAGCATGTCCCCATGATTTCTTTTGCTTTTTTCTTGACTAACTCCCTATCATACTTGGTTGGGAAAGTGAAATACTCTGGGATCTTGACATCCCATATGTAATCCTTCTCACTTTCGGGAACCCTCCACGGGTCATCATCTTTCCCAATCCACTTCCTGTACCTAATTGGGATGAAGTCCCTAACAAGTAACCCGAGGATAGTCTTGTATTTGGTCAAAGCTATAGGTGGTGAGAGTGGATCCCCGAATTCATCGAACTCAGTAATGTGTCAGTGTGCATTCCTACCAACAGGAATCTTTGACACGCCTCACTTGGTCTGGCCTTCCTGCTACCCGAACCCTCTGGCTCCTCGGCCGATGGAGACTCCTGCTAGAGACACCAAGTAAGCTATGACCCTCTCAATTGATTAGCGTGTGTGGCTACATAGTCACATGATACCAAAGTTACCTAGCCATCTTGGTTATTTTGACCCAGATCGAGCAGGCTGGACGGGGTCCATGGCTGCTCATTCTCACCGTCCTGATTGACACCATCACCGTTTGTCGGATCATGCGGCTCTCCCGTCCCAGCGATATCAGCCACTTCTTGTTGCCGATCTGTTCTTCGACGACGGAGTAACAGGCGACGATGAGTCATGGCTGTGACACGATCGTGGTTAGTTTTGGCTACAGACAACTACTAATAGCATATGTTCATATATATATATTAATATGTTTAAAGCAAAGTCTAATAATAAGTCCACATACAACAAAGTCAAATAATAGCATATGTTCACCTAGAACAAATTCATTGTTTGATTGACCACATACAACAAAGTCCACCTACTGTTCTACGAAACTAAGCCTACATCAACTTCTAAATAAGAAAAGCAATGACCATAGCCATAAATAAAAGCATGACATCTTTCCAAGACCAAGGAGCAAAATTCTCCTAATCTTCACATCTCCGGTGGGTGGCTTTTCTTCAATCTCTAGAGCCAGCGGATGGCCATGGTTTGCATTCATTGGACCATAGTAGGCTGGTTGCCCGTGGTTTGAAAGGTAGGCCGGATGGCTATAGTAGGCCCTCAAAGCTTAAGCTTCTGTGTTGTATTTTTTGTGCAAATTACCAGGGTAGCGATTGACTTGAGCATAGCAATCTTCCTAGGTTCAATAAATCCCAGGCATGTGACCAACATGCACTACATACCATGCTATGGTTGCCTATACATTTAAGTAAATTAGGTTGTCATTCAAACATGATGTATTCTTATAAAATTTAATTTATTTATGAATAACACACAACCATTGCATAGATAGGAGTGTTTGGAAAATAGCTATTCACATTCCTCAGTAATAGTTACTACAACTTATGATTATATCATCATTGCACATGACCATAGCCTCAGTCCAATTAATATATTACGTCATCATAACCTTAGTCTAAGTGCATTGAACCCTCTACAATGCATACAAGATAAAGAAAAGTTGTTAGATGTAGGAAAGATATAATGAATATTTTTTTATTCATTAAAAACCAAATGATGATTTAGAGAGCCAGTTTAAGACTTTTGGATATACTCCTAGAGATGTCTCAGAGTCTTTAGTCTCAGTATAAATCCCCCAACCATCGGCGCGAGGTTCTTTCACAAGTATCAGTGCAGGTAAGCATCTTTCCAAATTCCAATCTTATGTGATAATGATTGTTTCTTCCTGCCTGATACTGATCGAACAACCCTCGTTTGCTTGTAGTTAGCCTCAGTCTAATTAACTTTTCTTTATCTTGGCTTTTTGCACAAGCTTGAAACTTGAAGTGACTCATAATCAGCTCTAGGAATGAGATTTGTGAAAGGAGTAAGAAGACCCAAATCTTTTAGAAATTGGTTGTACTTGTACTTGTACCTATCTGGTCCATGCTAAGATGTGCATATATTAGTTCTATAGGTCTAAAATATATATACTCCATCCTCACATCCAAAAACATTGAGCATCGATGGCACTACAGACTAGACATTCATGATCAAACTGTATGCTAGCATTGCAATAAAGTAGCAGTAACATAAATTATGGCAAGTAAATTATCATATCAAACAAAAAGTTGTAGTACTTGGTAAATGAAAAGCCTCTACTGATTCAAGTAAGCAGTTGTGGGACATTTCATCAGACATGTAGCGGGCAGTGAGCCACGCACTCACTGTGGGGGTGGGAAAGCAGCTGTCCGCGTGCTCCTGAAGGCCTTGGCGGTGCTCCGGACGGTGCGGTGCTCTGGACGGTGCGGTGCTCCGGCTTGGCACGGACG